CAGCTGGAGGAAGGAGTGGCAGAAGCTCCCGCCATGGCTGTGGGGGCCCCCAGGGCCCGGGTGACCCCAGCGAGAGGCATATGTGGGCAGCTGGACCCCCCTGGCACGTGCCAGTGCTGCTGTGCCCCTGCGGTTATCAGCGTGAGCCACCGCTGCGTCCCTTGGCCTGGTGGCAGCTCAAGGCCCGGCTCGCGTGTCCCCTGCCAAGGTACCAGGGATGCGCTTGGGCTCTCAGACTTTGTAGTTTCTCCTGTCCCGACATCAGAGACTGCCCGATCCTTAGGACAAGCATGTATCACGGGACCGAGTGACAGGGACACGTCACCCAAGCCACTCGTGCACCTGCCTCATCCAACCTTGCAATGGGGACAGGATAGTGGGGCAAGGACAGAGGCGAGGGCATCACGCCAGGATGCTTTTCTGGGGGGATTTCATGCTTCAGCACATGCCCCGGGATGGTCCAGGGGCACAGGGCGGTGAGGGGCTGCCTCGTGGGTGCAGGAGCCATTGGCGCGCAGCAGCCGGGCACCCAGGTGGCTCTCGAAGGTGTCCCCCCGCTTGGTGTCGCCGCGGGCTTGGTGTCGCAGCGGGAGGGTTTCTGGCTGTGTCCGGCAGCCGGGGAAGCCGCCGAGCTGCAGCCGGGCCCACAGACACGAGCCCTACGAGCATTGGGCACGCGGCGTTCGGAGCCTTTTCCCGGAGGGGAAAGACCACGGAGCCCGCGGGTACCGACCGTCTCACTGGAGAGATTTAACCCCCTGAAGTCCTGGGCCCTAAACTTGAACACGTGGGCCTGGATGGTGGTGAACGTGAAGGTGAGGTGCTCCTGCTTGAACTCGGCTTCGGCCAGCCTTTGCTCGAGCTCGTTTAAGCTGCGGAGGAAAAACGCAGTGTGAGTGCCGGGGTGAAGCCAGAGCGGCCAGAGGGGACGAGCAGGAGCAGGGAGCCTGGGGCTCCCCCAGGGGCTTTGGTATTGGGGAGAGAAAGGTAAAAAAACGCTCAGAATATGGGGAAAAAGCTCCAAATCAGCCTTCCCAGACCAGGTCCCTCTGGGGTCGGGCAAGCCGTGGGTCTGGGATTGGGTTCGTGTAAGCTGGTGCCTTCAAGCAGTTCTAGGGGAGCGTGGTGGCTCTGTCCGCTGCCGCGGGCTCCTGGGTGAGACCGCTTCTCCCGTAAGCCTCTAGCTTTATCCCACTCTCTGGTTTTGTGATACGTTTCAGGCTTTCACTCCAAACAAATCCCTTAAACTGAAAAATAAAGGAGCTTGACCAAGGAGAGAGCATCATTGTTTGCAAAGCCGGACGGCTCGGTGCCACGGTGGCCGGGGCGCCGGGCAGCCGGAGGCTCGGGCACCGCCACTGCCGCCCGGCACAGGAGGCAGCCGAGCAGCCGCTCACCTTCCCATGGTGTCACCGGCGGCACCGCAGCCTCCCTGCAGCCGGGAATCCAGCGTGGCCATGTGCTCCTCCATCATTTTCATGTCTGCACAGACAAGATATTAGCAGCCCTTCTGGGGGTGCCAGCACCGGGGTCTCAGATACTCAGGGCCCCGCAGGACAGCGGGTCCCCCCAAAACCCCTGCCCAGGTGCACGAATGCACTAACACGCCTGCTCGATTTGGGCCGAGCGGCAGGCGGGAGAGAAAGCCGGAGGTTGGGCGTGAGTTTGGTCCATACCTTGGAGCTTCTGGGCAGAGACGGCGAGAGCGAGGACGAGGGCGGTGAGCAGGGAGGGGTTCATCTCTGGGGTGCTCTGTGCCGCTCCTGCAAAAGACCCCCGGGTGCCTACCCGGGCTGGGCTCAGCCTTTTTCGAGTGGGCAGCATCAGGCGAGTAAAGCCAAGATATCCCCAACCACGTCTGCTGGGGGGACCTGCCGCCAGGCATCCCAGCCCAGGAAGCGTGGACACACGCAGCCCTCGGTGTGGTGAGGAGCCAGGGCACAGGCTGGGTGCTGAGCTCGGAGCTTGCAGGGGGAGCTGGGGGGAGGCAGGATGAGGCCCTCCCCACTGGGCCGGTGCTCAGGACTGGACCCCATCGGGTGGATACTGGTGCACCGGGGATGGACGGCTTCCCACGCGGCAGCCGCGGCTCCTAGGACATCGGCTGGGCAAGTCCCAGCCTGGGAAGGCCGAGCGCCCGCCCCGGCGGGAACGCCCAATGGACAAATTTACCAGCCCGAGTCCGAGAGCAGGGCAGGGAAGGCGGTATTTAATGTGGCAGAGGGTTTTGTGCCTTAGACAACCTGCTTCTGGGTAGCTCACGGCCAGTGCCTGGCTTGGGTCACAGATCTTGGACAGACGACTGTCTCCAGGGCCCAACTCCCCCTCTGCCGAATAGCGCTAATGATGCCCTTCGTATCTGTGTCAGCTGTTACAGCCGAAAAAGCTTCGGGCAGGGGTCTGTATGCACACAGCGCGGGGATTTCCAGGAGGGCAGGAGAGGCGTCCCCCTTCGCCCCTCCGCACGCCCGTCCCAGCGCCCCGAGCCTGGAAGCTGGATTTCGCTGCTGCCGTTGCCTCGCCAGCCTGCAACGCCGAGATGCAAAACCTCGGGAGGCAGGTCGAAAGCCGCAAAGGCTGCAAGCGCGCTCTCTGGCCCACGCTGGGGCTTGCTGGCAGGGGCCCAGCCCTGCTCACTTCCTCCCGCCGAGCATGGGAAGTGGAAGCCTCCGCAGCACAAGAGTGGAGGGCCTCTAGCAAGATTTGCATCGGTTGCAGCACAGCGCACAGTCCTGCTCCCAGCTCCACCCACTGCCGCCAAAACCAACCGCTCGCCTACTGCTCGGGTCGGAGGCTTTGAGCTCCCCCTGCCACGGTGAGCTTCAGGGTGTTATTTCCGCAACGCGCTATCGACACATAAGTAAGTTCGGAAATGCTTTTACAGCTATTGCGGGGTAGACGTGCCGAGGAGAGATGCCTTCACGCTGCTGACACTAGCGATGGCCAGGGCAACTGCAGTTCCCAGAGGCGTTGCAAGCCGGGACGCGGCGCAGGGCTGTGCGCGCGCAGCTCGCGGATGCTGCCGGTTTGCGCCGTCTCCAAACAGCCCGGCTGCAGACATGTCTCCCGAAACAGTGCCCCGGGGCATCGGTGCACCGCATAGCACGTGTAGACCCCCAGCTAGGGATGCTCCACGCAGTTTCTCCCAGCACTTCATTAAAAGGCTTTTTAACTCTTTTACTTCTTGTCCTAACCGCTGCCAACATAGCACCCGGGCCACCCTGGGGTGTCACGCCATGGCACTGGTTTGCGTGGTTGAAGGCGGGCGCTGCGGCCTCACCTGAGCACCCTTGAAAGCCGAGCAGGGGTCTCGTCTGCCGCAGGGCTCAGCAGGCAGAGCCACGGCGCTGCCCAACGCCGGGAGCGTTTCACCGCGAACAGACAACGCTCGGAGAGGAAATGCAAGGAGGGGCAATCCCGGAGCGGCAGATTAGGGCACAG